CCCCCCTCTCTCTCTCTCTCAGATGAATTAACACACATACAAGCACTCACGTGTTGAGTACCCCATGATTCAGGCCCTAATTACACTTAAAGTTGGCCATAGCGCGTGCCTCAAAGCCCACTTAGCCACAATAAGCCATAAAAACACAATCTTTAGGATATACAGAGATGGCTCAGTGCACATCTCCATCTCTAGCCCCTCTCTGTTTCTTTATCATGCTATACATTTCTACTTGACTGTAATGAATGCATGCTTTGAAATTCATCTTCTTGGGAGAAGATGACTTCATATGAAACAAATTTTCCATTAGCTTTAGATGCTTTGTATTGTGAGGAGGAACATTGGGATAATGGAGAAGTTGAAAACAGAGACATATGTTTCATAGAAGAAGAGAGCACATTTCTTGCTGATTTTATAAGCTGTAAACGTTCGGTGGTGTTATTGGAACATGATTTGTTTTGGGAAGATGAGGAGTTTAGTTCTTTGTTGTCTAAAGAGCAGGAAAATGAACTGTATAATGGGATTCAAGAAAACCAATCTTTGGCCAGGGCTAGAGGAGAGGCAGTGGAATGGATACTTAAGGTCATTGAATATTACTCATTTTCAGCTCTCACTGCGGTTCTTTCAGTTAACTATTTGGATAGGTTTCTCTGTGGCTTTCAGTCACACAGCGAGAAGCCATGGATGACTCAATTAGCAGCAGTGGCCTGTCTTTCTTTGGCTGCAAAAGTTGAGGAGACTCAAGTGCCTCTCCTTTTAGATTTCCAAGTACGTAAAAATTAAACACTTTGATGGATCTCTTCTTATATGCTTCGTTTTATTTATGGATGCTTGTGTAAAATGGTTAGATGATTTATATGGGATTGTTCTTGTAAATAGGTGGAAGAGTCTAAATATGTGTTTGAGGCAAAAACTATTCAGAGAATGGAAATTTTAGTTCTGTCCACACTGCAGTGGAAGATGAATCCAGTTACCCCAATTTCATTTCTTGATTACATAGCAAGGAGGCTGGGATTAAAGAGCAACTTGTGCTGTGAATTTCTCAGGAGATGCGAGTGCTTGCTTCTGTCAATAATTTCTGGTAACCCCTTTTGATATTATTAGTTGTTATCAATGTTTCCACTTTTGGGCTTCTTTACTTAGTTTCTTGTTCTTGTGTTAAATCAATTGCAGATTATAGATTCTTGTGTTATCTGCCTTCTATACTAGCCAATGCCACAATGCTGTACGTTATCAGTAGCTTAGAGCCTTGCATTGGAGTGGAGTATCAAGAACAACTATTAGGCATTCTTGGAATCAACAAGGTTTGTAACTTCAAAATCCTTTTTTTAATCTTTTTTTTTGGGTGCAAGAATTTTAGTCTGATTATAACGTGCAATGAAACAGGGCAAACTGGAGGAATGCTGTAGTCTAGTACAGGAGGTGGCAACAAGAATTCAGTTCCATTCACTCAACAAAAGAAAATTTGGATCATTCCCAGCGAGTCCCAAAGGGGTTGTGGATGTTTCATTTAGCTTTGATAGCTCCAATGATTCATGGGCAGTGTCTTCATCAGCAGCTACATCAGTTTCTTCCTCACCAGAGCCTCTATCCAAGAAAATCAAGAATCTGCACAATCCAAATGAAGTGGATACTTTTTAGCTATTCCCACCAAGTCTATGACCCTTCTTCATTTCCTAATTTCATGTCACCATATATATATGATGATGATGATGATGATGATGATGAATAAGATTTTATCTGTTATGTATTAAATTGCCTACCATCTTTCTGCTCCATGGTTATTATTGTTCTGTGAAGATGGTAGGCGTTTTATCATCCCGGATGAAGCCAAGAATATGAACATAGAATTGCAGAGTATTTTTATTTCTATTTATGGTTATCTTTTTATTTTAAGTATCTAGAATTGTGTAGATTTCAGACTGATACGTTTTTCAACAGAGAAGAAAATGAGCAAATGAGTTTAGAATTTGGTTGCATGTGAGGAGAGGAACATTTTGTCGGCCACTGGCATCATTAGTTGGATTGTTTTTGAGGTTTGACCGTGTTGGAAGAGTTAGGTGTATTTGTGAGACTTGGTGTTTTTGAATTATGAGGCTAAATGAATGACTGAATTTGTTATTTTAAATTTCTAATTTGGCTAATTAAAAAAGTAATAAAAGATAAAGGAAGGGCCAGAATCTTCCACTCATACTACATTATGGATTTCAAATCGTGATACTCTCGATGTCAAGTGAGTATGTTTTCACTCTGTTTTTCTCTTCAATCTATTTGATTTGAGTGAACGGTATTATCTCATGGGAATGTAAGATGGTGCCTTTGAAGTATTCGTCCATTTAGGATTCCGCTCAAATCACTAAATTTTAGATTTTGAGTCACTATACTTTGGATGTCAAGAGAGTTTGTTTTCACTCTATTTTTCTCTTTAACCTACTAGTGTTGTGATTAGTGTTAGAGTTCGGTTGTGAGTCTTGTGACCCGAATTCTAATGAGAGTTGGTAGTATGCCTTGAAGAAGTAAAAGATGTATTTGGCAGTTCTAAGACTCTATTTCAACTTCAATGCTCCTATGTTGATTTTACCTGTTGTAATATGATTAAACTTTATGTTAGACTCTTGTTTGTATTAATTCTCTTAGTATGTTAGGGATTCTTTGATTATAAATATGTGGTGTACAACACGTATTAAGATTGACCAATTGTCCAACCTATTAGTTTGGCCTAGAGAAATCCTTTGTAATCCTTCATTATTGATTGTTAGTAAATTCTCCTCTATCCGTAGTTTTTTCTCTAATTAGGTTTTCACATTTATCTTGTGTTCTTGTTTTTATTTTTCATACTGCCTATTCTCTTTTATTCCTAACAAGTGGTAACAAAGCAAATTGGTATCATTTAATTTCATAATAAGTGATATCAGAGCCAAGGATGGACAATTCTTGGGAGAGTCGGTTTGGTTTCTTATTAGAACGAGGTTTGATTGTTTCGGGATGGAAAGTATGAAGTTAGATATTCGGCTTTTGGATCACAACATCAAATTTTTGTTATGGCGGATTTTTGTTCGGACACTGGAGGAAAAACAACGTAAGAATTGAGTCGTGTAAACAAGTGGAAAAGGTCCTAGTTATATATTTTAGAAGGTTTAACGATCACGTTTGATATAGCTAATTGAACAAAAAAGATATTAGACCTCAGGAGAAATTTGGTGAAGCTGATTTAGTTGCTTATGCGTTGATAAGTGTTTACTCAAATAGAATTAGTTGCGATCGTGTTGCTCGTTGGGATAATTCGAGCAAATGTGTTAACTCGAATTAAGTTGGTTGTGAACTTGATAATTTTGTTGTTTGTGGTGATTTGAGCAAGTTTGGTGCTCAATGTAATTTTGTTGGTAAGTAGTGGTTGGATTCGATTAACATTTGTTAAGCTTGCCTTTAGGAAGGCTTTGTAGAAGATGTGGAGATTTTTGCTTCGAAAATTTTGTTGGAGTCAAAGAGTTAAGTTTTATTTCTTGTAGTGAAATTCGTTTTCAAGTGGAGAATTTTTGAAGCTTTGTTCATTGCGGTGGAATTCGTATCAAAGTGTTCGATTGTGATTCGAATTCTACTGGGAGTTAGTATTATGCTTTGAAGAAGTAAAAAACGTATCTGACAGTTTTTAGAATCCTATTTCAACTCCAATACTTCATTAATGATTTTACTTATTGTAATTGGACTTCACCTTATGTTAGTCTCTTACTTGTATTAATTCTCCTAATATGTTAAGGATTCTTGTATAATAAATATATGGTGTATTATTACTGCTAGTCTCTTACTTGTATTAATTTTCCTAATATGTTAAGGATTCTTGTATAATAAATATATGGTGTAATATTACACATAGAGTGATCCAATGGGATCCAATTTAATAGAGAGAGAGACTCATAAATAGAGATATTGGGAAAGAGTCTTGTGAGATCTCGCATAACATATTGTAATTCATTCCTTTTGATATAGTGAATTTTTTGCCTATGTCCATGGTTTTTTCCATCTTGAATTTTCACGTAAATCTTGTGTTCTTGTGATTAAATTTTATATCATAACAATTGGCTCAATTTCTAATAATTGATATCAAAGCAAATTGATTACACCAATTTCTAGACAATTTGAGTGGACGATATTATCACACATGAATATAAAACAACACCTTCGAAGTATTTCTCCATTAGGGGTTCCACTACATAGGTTTCAACTCGTGACACTCTGGACGTCAACTGAGTTTGTTTCACTCTTTGTTTCTTTCTTTAACCTCATGGCGTTGTGATTCGAGTGAATGTTATTATCACGTGTGAACATAAGACAATGACTTTGAAGTATTTCTCCATTCAGAATTGTCCCATTGAGATATTTTCTTCATTTTTAGAATGAATCTATTTAATTATTTTCTAAATTTAAAACTTTATAAGTTGATTATTATTTTTGTATCTCACCAACGTGACATTCCATAAATTGTAATTTTTATACATATTATCAACTAATTTGTCAATGACAAGCAATGGATATAAAGTTTCAAAATTTGTGACAGCCATACATGTGAATCCAATAGTAAGGCAATGTGAGTAGTTGTATAGAGGAATTTAGTTTGAGCCACCCAAAATTATTCAATTTGGTTTGCACTTAATGGTACCACAGAAGACATGTACTAACATCATCGCATGTGCTTTTCTTAACCACTTTAAATTACATGGAATCATGACTTGCCTTTATTCCTCAACCTGAACTTCTTGCATTTTCAATTCATTATATAATTCCCTAATCAATACTCCATTTCGTCGGACCAATATACTAATATAATACGTCAATATTTATCCCATTTTCGTTTTCTTAAAATTTTTTATATGAGATGATTTAATCTCTATTCGTCGCGAGTGTTCTCATCTTGCACATGTGCTGATGGAGCAAATATGTATTATGCTTAAAGGAAGAAAAGAAAGATGTAGAAAATGGAGAGCAAAAGGCCAATAAGAATAAAATTTAGTGGCATTAAAGGCTTATTAATTTGGATTAAGAAAAATGTTTAGATGGAAAGGGGAAAAGGGTAGGAATGTTGAAAATGGGGGACAGAGACAGTATCTTTTGATTTAGGGAGAGATGTCTTTTTGGTCCTTTTTGTTGTCAATGCTTTTGGTAGTTATAGGAGAATAGACTTTAGTGTGTTTTTCAACCTATAAAAATTATGAAAGGACAGAGGAGACATAACTGGAGAGAGTTGGTTCCAGTTAATATCTACTCCTTTTATTTATTTTATTCAAAATTATTTCACATCTTGACTTTTACTTTTCTCATTCAATGTCTGGAACTTGGAGCATAAAAAAATAATTAATAAAGTAGTTACTACCAATATTTCAGGCTAAACAGGTTCCGATAAATTTTTGGATAATTATAGTTGTGATTCCAAATCTTTCATTTTTGGCGAATTATACCCAAAATTTTCATTTGTGCTGGCTATAATCACGAACCTTTAATTTAGTTGTAGCACAAGGACAAATGAACAGATCATCATCATCCATATTGCAAAAGAATAAAAACTCTGCCATAACTGATGCCCTCCCATAGTTTTAACAGCCACAAACAGAAGAGATTCTAAAATTATGCTTGTTAATACGATTCTCATCATCAGTGGGGTTTAACACCTCCGACTTATCAACATAATCAATTCCAATAACCTCAAGAATCAGGGCTTTAACGAAATGCCCAATTCGGTCCTTGCCATAATTGAAAGAGTAATAGCTTGCTCAATTTTCTTAATCGACTGTGGATTTGAAATACAGACTGTGTCTTGATGTGGCCCGATGGGTTTTGTGATTTTGATTTGATTTGGGGATGGGACGAGACGAGGTGGGGTGGGGTGCGTTGGGATATCAACGAGTCAAGCCGAAATTCTAGGCTCGGGTAAAATGTCCGAGCTTTTTTCGGGGCCCTAGCCGGCCTAAGCAAAAGCTCGACAAAAAAAATTAGAGCCAAGTCGACCTGACTCGGGTTTTGTTTGGTTTTGAGTTTTTTTTTCCTTTTTAAATTAAAAAGGCAGCAGGTTGCTACCTTGTCTGGCAGCAACTATAAGTCTATTTTTGGCAGCAACACGCTGCATATATATATAAATTTAGCCCCCATTTGATACCCATTTTTTTCAAAATACATTTTTCTCTCTCTTCTTTTCAACCACACATTCTTTATTAAAATAATATTATACGTAAATAAATTTTTTTTTTATTTTTCAACTACACACTTCCCATCAAGTTACTATTCTAAAATGTATTTTTACATAAAAATGACTGTCAAATACCCCCTTAATATTTTATCTTTTTAAAATTGATCAAAAGAGCTCATTTTTATTTTTTTTCTGAACAATGGTCAAATGGACGAAATGCGTTGCAACTAACTTAGAAGTTTGAGATCTTGGGTGGCACAATGAAATGTTTGGATATAATCTGCAAAAATAAATAAATAAATAAATAAAAATGAAAACATTTAGAACCGCAGCTACAATTATTCCTTCTTTTTTTCTTTTTTTTGGAAAAATCAACTTCCTTGGAAATTT